TCTGTGTCAGGTACTGTAGTTTTTCTCGAGAGCTCGCACATCCTCCTCTCCTTCCAATATTCTCCTCTTTCTTTCTCTAAATATCCTCTTTTAATGTTTCTCTTCACAAGTTGGCGATTTCCCGATACAGACGTGCCTTCTCTTGCTTTCAGGTCTAATGTATTTTTTTGTGCGTTGGGTTATTAGCGTGAGAGCTGCGAGGCCTGCGTCTGTTTAATCAGGCTTGTTGAGCACGCAGGTTTGATGTGTGTTGTCTCTGTGTTTAATCAGCGAGCTGCGAGCTGCAGGTTTGATGTGGACGGAGAGTTAATAAAGCAGTATCTTTGGTGCCTTCATCAGCAGCAGCACTTTGTTCTGCCTCTCCACGCTCCTCCAAGACAGACAGCTGCAGTCTCTGCGCTGCAGCTCCAATACTCCTCTCTTTCCACATCTGTCTTCTTCGTCTCATCTGGTGGAGGACGGATTCCTCCTCAGCCAACTTGTTTTTTTTTTTTCAGTTTGACACCTTACATTCAGGTCCATCATGACTTAAATGTTTAAGATAAATGATGTACAGTTATTACAGACTATTGGATGTAGACAAAAAGAGTCATCACAATGGCCATATGCCTGAGATGATGTTTGCTTGTTTACAGACTTAAAGGAACAATGTGCGTCATTTTACACATAAATACACGAGAAGTGCGAGTCCTGCTGCCGTGTTGTTGTCTGTGATGTGTTGACATCAGGTAAACATGGACGGGACCTCCGGCTCCTCCCCTTGTGTCTAAAAGCTGTTTTAGTCAAGCACTAGAGGAAAGAAGAAGACATTAGAAAGAAGAAAGAGCGCTAACATTAGCCTGCTAACAGAACAATGCAGGCCAATTTTGTCCACCACTTGCGCTTGACTCCTTCATGCAAACTCGAGTGGAGAGGGGTTGGAGGTGTGTCGCTGGAGGAGAGCAGAGGCTTCAGTATGGCGGATGTGCGACCAAACAGCAGTTTGTTTTGGTTTAATTCTCAAGGGCGACATCTACTGGAAAAAAAAGTGACACATTCTTCATTTAAAGGGATACAGCAGTGTATCGTTTAAACATCTGCATTGGCCGATAATTGCCAGGTTGACAAACAAGCCCATAGGAAAATAATCCGACACTGATGTTAGTAGCCTATATGTGTATCTGTTGTGTTGCATTAAATCAATTCTTGCAGGCTAGTATACAAATGGTCACTTGTGGGACAAACTGCAGTTTTTGAATCTATTTGTCAGTTTTATTATAATAATCATTCTATTGATACATCTAGGGCGTGTTAATAAGGAAGAATTTAAAACTATTTTTGTTCCCATCGGTTTGTAAACTTGGAAAAGAGCAGCACTTTCTGGAAAGCATAAAGTAAACATGTAGGGACATCTGAAAGAAAACAGCAGTTTCTTTGTTTACAGTTTTCTCTTTACAAAAGCTGATCAGAGACACAAGTGTTTCTTTGTGGAGACACTGATGTGAAATCAAATAAACTAAAACATGTGACACTCAGATTATTGTCAAGAAGGACCTGCCTACAGGAGTGTAAAGTCTGATCACTACAATAATCATAGCAATCAAATCGATAAAAAAAAATGGATTTAAAAGTCATGACATCAGTGTAATGTAACAATAAGTCACTTAAAACAAAAGTGGATAAAGATGATGAGCACTTCATCCACTGCAGATGAATATTGGCTTTTCATAGTCAGATTAAAGGTATGTTGAAGGCCTCTGAAGATTTGGTTTGTGTTTGAAATGTGTCTTTGTATCTTCATGCATTGTTGTTTTGTTGTAAATGACGCCTCTGCAATAAAGGGAGACAAAGATTTATTTTGGGCTTTTTGTGCCTTCACTGGAGGGATAGGATAGTTTGGATACCGTTTGAAATCAGGGAGAGAGAGAGAGAGAGAGAGAGAGAGAGTGACTGATGTGCCGGGTAAGGAGCCACAGGCTGGATTTGAACCCCTCCGTACATGGGGCGTTCGCACTTACCACTGCCCCACTGGCGCCCCGACAAATGTGAGACTTTGACAATAAAAAAACGTAGTGATGTTGCTTCCTCCTCTAGAGATCGTTGCTTGTGTTGTTCTTACTCTTAGATGTTCGTCTGTTAAAAGCGTCTGCGAGGTGAATTATAGAATGAAGTTCAATCAATCAACTAAAACTGCAACAGTTGATATTAGTCAGAACTTTGACTGCTTTGCTGAAAATAACCGTTGCAACCAGAGTATCCAGCTTCAAAGTTCACTGAAATCAAATCAACTTGTATGAATTGAGCTAAAACCAATCTGAGGCCGTCCATGAGATCAGTGTTATTTTTAGTCCCTAAACTTCCTCCTTTTTTTTCATATTCCACACTTCCCTTCCCCCTGAGAATCCAAAGTTTGGTAATGTCAACGAGCTTGAGGCTGAACTGGATCCTCCTACATTAAAACCTAGAAAGTTTCTTTGGTGCTGTTGGATAAGTCTCATGCTTAATTGATCTCCCTCCTACAGAGATACACATGTGGGCTATGTCTTCTTTATTATTATTTCTACATCTCTTCAATGAGTTTGGTCCCATTTTCCCGTGGATATCACGCTGTAACAATTAATAAGGCTTTAACTTTTAAACGAGCCAATGAAGTAGAATGTGCCGCACTTATCACACTATCCTTTCTGCCAACTATCCGAGGCGAGAGGAGAAGAGAGAGGGGGGAAAAGAGAGGGAGAATTTATTTCTCCTTGGATAAAAGAGGGGAGAAAGTGGAGCTGAAACTTTTCCGCACCATTTGATGTCTGAAAGCAGTGATGCAGCGATTGATTCATTAAACCCGAGCCGTAATGAGGAGAGAAATCATAATTCAAACTTACATTTTTAAACAGGAAATATAATTGGAATTTTATACAGAGAAGTCCCTTTGTACAATTATGATTAAAGGGAAATTAATTGTATGAAAATCTCCTTATAGATACCGAAAATTAGATCTAGCAAAGCTCAGGCGACAGAATTCTAAAAATATTGTGTACAGGATCGATCTTTTTCTTTCTCCTCTACTCTTTTTTTTTCTCCTCTTATGAAGGTCCAAATCTAGCTGTGTTAACTTTATCTGAAATTACAGTGAACCATGCAGGCGTGGAAGTTGAAATTAGCCTAAAGATGTTTCATTTACAAAGACAGAAACACTTTGTCAGCTGCCGATTGTTTCCCGGCATTATCTCTCGCCTGCTTTTTAATTGCTTTGGAAGTGAAATTAACAGAATTAGAAAAATTGCCTCTCCCTTTCTCTACAAGCTTCTTTATTCATGGGTATTGTTGTGTGCTTTGTATAGATTATAGACTCCTTTTGTTCCAGTATTGTAAATATATACGCCCCCCAGTCACGGCTTTAGCTCAGAAACAATCCCCCTGTTCGTTCGACGCAACCTACTGCAAATTAATTTACAACCTGTCTGGATTGGGGGGAGAAAGGCGGGAAATGGTTTTTCTCTCTGTCTTCATTTCACTGTGATTCAGTTATTCAAAAACAATGTGCCCACCCTCCTGACTTTCCAGTACATCATTATTATGTACGTGACTTGTTTTCTCCCTCGGCAGTCGGCGGCACATTCTTCTTCACCCCCTAATCCTCTTAAAATGGTTACCCTGAATTAATAATTCTATCATGGCGTCCTCTCGGGAGAATCGAGCATGTCATCCGCTGCAGATGAACATGCCTTTTCATAATCAACAAGCCTTGAAACACTTAATAACTCCGAGTCAGTCTTAAGATACACACAAACATGCTGTAAATATAATAATGGCGTACAAATAAAAGGATTCTGAGGAGCTGTTGATGCACTGTACAAGCAGCTGAGGTGTATTCATCATATAGAAGGAGAATAATTAATGAAGCAATTTAAAAAAGTCACATTAAATCCATATTAAGTGACTCCATTTTTTGGATGTAATCTTCAAACAGGCTAAAATAGATCAAAAGTATTGTATAATTACTATGGTCAGCAGGGATTATGAAACTGTAATTGATACAGATCAGCCCTGCACTAATCACTCTTTTAGCTACATTTTTAGGTATACTGTAATTTGGCTTTAAGGTCCCCCTTGGCTCCCTGCTATTAATCTTGTGGATTATACCGTACAGCGTGTCCAATTCTTGAAACTGTTTTTGAATGAGTCCAGTTATAATAAAAAAAGACAAATTGGATCTGTGTGTTTAGGGTATTTTTCCCCCTCCCTTTTCTTTAGTGCCTAAAATCATACGGAGCTTGTTTAACAATATCACTTTCCTTTATTTCTTTTAACCTTCCTGCACCAGGCAGTTTAGACTTGGCGCCCATGGGGGAGGTAATTAAACTGAAATCCCTCTCTCTCTGTTTGCAGATTTAGGAGTATGACAGTGTTCTGTGATTGTGCCAGAGACGGCGATCTGCTTCATGAAGATTCGAGTGATATTCTCAGTGTTCATGAACTAAATGTAACCCAAAAGTGCAATTTGGGCTGCTGTGGCTCAGTTTGCAGAGTCCGTCATCTCCTGATCAGAAGGTCGGGGGTGCGATCCCCAGCTACTGCAGCTACATGTCCGATGTGTCCTTGGGAAAGACACTTAAGCCCAAGTTGCTCCCGCTGCTTCAGCGGCGCCGTGTGAACGTGTGTGAATGGGATTAGTCATTTCTGATGGACATTTTAGCAACCTCTACCATCAGTGTTTGAATGTGTGAATGTGTGAATGTGTAGGTGTGACCTGCAGTGTAAAAGCACTTTGAGTCGTCAGAAGACTTGAAAAGAGCTATACAAGCTCAAGTCCACTTACCACTCACCAATTCTCATAGCTCTCATATTTAAGTCTCAAGTTGAATTGATAAACTTGTGTAAGCTGCAGGTTACATTCTTCAGAGTAACATGTACTGTAATGCTGTAAGTGTCCTCTCAGACATGTTGTGTATTGGGGTGTTATAGTGTGCAATGAACACAAGTACAGGTTGGGTTTTAAATATTCTCTCTTCTTCCTCCTCCAGGTTCCCTTGGGGATCTCGATGGCGGTGAGGAGAACACGCCAGACAACCTCAGCCTATCAGGAGAGGAGGGCGGAGCCTCGGACCCTGATGATTCAGCCGAAGGTGACAGCTCCAGCCCACCACCATACACACCTCTGTACAATGAAGGTAAGAAGACGAATACAAAGTCAATCTCACAGCAGTATATAAGAGCAGAATAATCAATAAAAATAGTACGAGGTTTACTATTTTGACATTATTGAAACTCAAAGACTGGTCCAACAAAGACTTGAAGTCTCTTGAAGTGGAAATATAGCTGAAATATGATTGCTGGATGGAAAAAGGAACCGTTCTTAATTTTAAAAAGTGGCACAGCTTCCAATTATCTTGATGAACTCCTTGATAATGAGTAAAAAATGACACTAATTGCTTGTTTGGCTTGGTCCAAAACCCTGAGAGATTAATTTCCTGTCATAGACCACTCGTCCAATCAGCTTCTTATGATTTAAAACCAGTACTGGAGTCTTTGATTTTGAATATTTTTCAAAAGATATTTTCCTTGACCTTGATGCCTTTATTTGTCAGGAAAGTGGATAGAGTAGGAAATCAGGAGAGAGAGAGAGAGAGAGAGAGAGTGGGAATGACATGCGGGAAAGGAGCCACAGACCGGATTTGAACACAGGACGCCCTCTTAGAGAACCATAGCCTCTATACATGGGGCGCAATGTAACCGCTAGGCCATCTGCGCCCCATCACAGACCCCTTTAGACCAGAGATAGTCCCTTCAAAGAATAAAGATACAGATGGTGACGATCTCACATCTCTATCATGTTGTCTCTTTTTGTGCCCAAACAATTTTAGCAATGTCAGCCCGAGTATACACTGTCAGACGTTTTCATTGTTGTCCACCGAGTTTTTCTTCACAATAATGTGTTTAGTCGAGCTTCTCATCAGTTAATAATCCCTCTTCCACATGCTTTTTCTGTCAAATATGCACACTTGTTCACAGAGCGATGAAGAAGCAGCAGCATGGCAGTCTTTAAACTCTAACTTGAAAATGTTACAATAGTTTGTTGTGTTTACTTGCATGTTGGGATTGTTAGAAATGTTTCAGGCAAGCTATGCAATCTGTCACATTAAGAAATTTAAACACATTTATTTAAAAAAAAAGTTAGGAGAACATCAAATAGTTTCAGCGCAACATCACACATTTAGAAAAATGAAAAACAAACTATAACACACACAGCTCTACACAAAATCTAGTTGTGTGGTTTACTGACAGTCATTAGTGGTTGTTACCAGATTTATCTCGTCATCAAGACTTGAGGTCTTTCTTTCATCAACAGTCTACCTGTTATCTGACAGGAGATGGTAAATGTTACACAGAGACAACTTAAAAAAAACTCTGAGGGACCTTTATGAGGTTGCAGCCCTTCCACATGTATCACTATTTTATCTCTATTGTGTCTAAACGAACAAAAAAAGAAAAACTCTCTGGGTTCAATCTTGGCTCCGGTGGATCTGCCCCCTCGTGCACCTCTTATCCCGAGCCTCCCCCTCACACAGTGTGATAGCAGCAGAGTTTTCAGTCATATTCTTTTGACTTATTCAAGATTTCACCAGCTGTGTTTTTTAATCTCAAAAATTCCTGCTCTTGTGAAATTTTTGGGGCTGGAAGTGATAAGCGTCTGTTGGTTGGCTTGGTTTGATAAACCCATGGAAATTCTGTCAGGTGCTAATCGAGACGAGATTAGAGATTAGCTGTGCTATGTGGGTGTGTGTGTGTGTGTGTGTGTGTGTGTGTGGCTGTGGGTGTGTGTGGGTGTATGTTTGAGGTGAGGAGTGGGTTATGTGTGAATTAGATTGTATAAAACGAAGAAGATGAGAAAACTCAGGCTGGCTGAACATGTGAGAAAGTTTTTTTTTCTGGTGATAGAAAACTGACGTAGTGTCTTTGTTTCTGCAGTGTATGGAATCAGAGAAGGGCCACAAAAAAATACAGAAATATAAATGATAAAAATCAGCTAAATAACAAAAAAAAGTGATTACAAGCAATATCCTTAAGATCCATAAGATATTTCACTAGCCTAGCAAGTTCCACCCAAAGACATGATTGACAGCTTGCCCCCCCCAAGGAAGGAAAAAAACTGATGTAATATAAATTAAATACATATATGAAAAAATGAAAAATGTAGATTACAAGAATGTCTATTTAAAAATGGGATTGCATCAAATATTAATGTATAAATTAATATAAAGATAATAGACCTAAGTAATAGACCTAAGTTGTGCAAATAAAATAAAAGCACTCAAAGAATTGTATTTAATATTTTATTACTCTCCTGGGTTCCTCATATACTTACTGTAAGTTATTTGATTTATTTATTTCTGTGTCCCAATTTATTTGATTTTAGTACAGATTTTTTGTGGCACTCCTCTGACTCCATACTAACAATAAAACACACACACACACACACACACACACACACACACACACACACACACACACACACACACACACACACACACACACACATATCCCTGTATCACACTGTTGATTTACTTCTACTCTCTCTCTCTCTCTCTGTTCTCTGGGGTTCCTCGGTTGCCCAGCGCTGGCATTATCAGTTCTCTGTAAATCAGCCATGTTTGACGAACCTGCTCTTTCAACCTGGGATCAATACCAGGTCTTTATCTGGGCCACTGCTGGCTAATAAAGGCAAGGCCTCTTATCCACCATCTGGAAGAGAGAGAAAGACACACACACACACACACACACACACACACACACACACACACACACACACACACTGCTGATAACCACACTGATAACTTTAGCAAGAAAAACACATTCTACTAGTAACAGGACCGAGCACTCTGTTGTCTCCATCACAGCCCCTCCTCTACCTGAGCCAGTATATTAATGCTGATACGATGGATCCATACTCATTTAGCTTTATTGAGGAAAACTACTTCCCTTTTCCTCTCATGTAATATTTTACAATCATTTTTCAACACGTTTGCAGTATTGCTCTACAGTTGCAGAAAAATGAAGGTTCTCGTTCATAGCAAGCAAATCACACTTCTCCATCACAGGAAACCAGATAAAATCCGCTTCAGGCTGATTAGTCAATATGTTACCTTCTGATGACCTCTGATCCTGTTGCCCTAATTTGAACCAATCAGAATGAAGTTTGTTGACCACAACTTGTTCTTTCTCATCAGAATCTGATCAGTGATATGAAAGTGTGTGTGTGATGCATAAAGTTGCAATCTCTTCTGGTATCATCATGATGGATAATTAACCGTGGACTGTCTGTATGCTATGCTAAAGTATGAAATAGTTCTGTCTGTATAAACAGATTATTTACACATATCTTATTTTAGGTACTACTAGATGTTGCTGCTGTAACTGAAATTGTGATGTTAGAGCAATCAACTTTTAAGATAAAGAAAGATAACAGGACAGAATGGAGATGGAAAAATAATGAAGAGTTCTAGCTGTACACAAGGAAGTTTGGTTACAGTTCATGGTCGGCATCAGCTATACATTTTGAGACCTACCCTTGGCCACATTTTAGGCCTTTAGTGCAGTGATCGTTTGTGTAGGTATAACAGTGATTGTGCTCTATGGCAAACATGGTGGCTATAACACTTAATTCCCATACTCCACCATGTTTCCCAAACGTCCTGACTCCTTCATGTCTGCCTCAGTAAAGTCCCAGAGGAGAAAGACAGAGCAGAACTAACAGACACACTGTACGTTACCATACTGCATCCTCATTTACATTTAATTTTTATTTTGGTGAGGTGAAAAAAATCTGATTATTCTTTTTTGCAAAATTGATCAGCCCCATCCAGCACTCCAGTTGACCCTGACCAAACTTGATGATACTGTCACGTCATATTGAGAAGTTAATTAAATTCACACACTTTTAACATATTTTCCTCAATATATTACTTGACAGACACCTCATTATATATATATATATATATATATATATATATATATATATATATATATATACAAACACATAGATTGTGTATTTTTCAGCCAGGACTGATTGCCACAGCTGTAATAAAAATGGGACAGAGAATCTGATGGTGGACTGAATAAAGCCTCTGAGAGAGAATATGTGCACCATGATTAATCAGGATTTCAGTGTCATTATATATTTAATTATGCTTTATTTGCTTTAATAAATGAAATGTGAGAAAGTTTAATTCAATACTATTCAATTTTATTTAGCAGTGCTAGCTTAGATTTGGGACACCAAAAATGAATTTCTTAAAACTCAAAGAGTTTATCCCTGTTTCTTTTATATTCTCTGGAGATTGACGAGAAGATATCTGATTTTTTTGTCTGTAGATTTTTATCACTCTTCATGAAAGTTTGCACAGCACTTCCTCATCATAGATTATGTCTTTGTAAAGCACAGTTATGACTCCATATGCTGGAGAACATTGCTCTACCTGTTTGAGTCATATAGACATAGATGATATCTAAACATAAATGCTACTTATTTCTTCTATTGTCTATTCTTAACACACCGTTTAAATTTCTATTTATGTCTGAATAAATCATGCCATACCCCTACTCACATTCCATTTGTGACCAGAGAAGACCTCTTCCTGTCACTACTTTTATACATTTTCAATAAGAGGCTTAAGTGGAGCAGTCTAGACACTGACAGGTTGCTGTTTGGTGTTTTACTAGATCAAAGGCTTGAAGCTCCAGACATGAATTTAGTTTCAGTTCTCCGCTTCGGCGGTGCCACCAACATAAAGACTTCATGAGTAAATATTAAAAAAACAAACTGTTAGGGGGCTCATATGGAAGACAGAAAAGACTTTTACATTTTGAATGAGAAGACATAAAACCAAAGAGGTTTGTAGAAGTTAGGAGGCGAGATTGTTGGGTGACTTTGCCCTGCAGGTGTGACAGGGGAAGTTCAGCTTATCAGATTGATGGAGACTGTCTCACTATTGGGTGGAGGGAGGGTGGGAGAGAGGGAGCGAGGGGTTGGTTGGTTGGCAGAAAAGTGTCTGTCGACTTCTGCTGATACCTGCCTCCCTGTCTGAGATGATATGGGAGATAATATTGATAATATTAAACGCAATAACTGTGTCTCCAGCTCCCCTCCCTCGCTCCAGCCCCTGCAGGATAAAATCAATGTGCCATTCAATGTGATTTATAGCTGAAAATAATGGCACTGTTTAGGCAGGGGGAGGTGTGTGTGTGTGTGTGTGTGTGTGAAGGTCTGCTTGCTTTAGTGTGTGTACAGTATGTATGAGTCTTGCATGGACAGGTGGACGTGATGTGAAGATGGATGATGTGTGTGAGTGTGTGAGTGTGTGAGTGTGTGTGTGTTGATTTATTTGACGATGCAGATGCAATCTCACGACTGTTACATTAATAACAGTGTGCGAGTGTGAGGGCGTCACATGGTCGTTTATGGCTGCTATCGATCGGCTGTTATCGCTGTTTATCGGAGCGGGAATGCAAGGGTAAACACAGGCTTTGTGCAGACAGTGGAGGTGTTATCGGGGTGGTGGCTGAGGACAGGGTGGGATTTGGGGAAGGGGAGGGAGAGCTCAGAATGGGAGCCAGGAAGGAGGGAGGAGGAAGGAAGTACAAAAGAGGGCAAAAGTTAGAATGAGGAGGAGGACTGGGTTTCTGACAAAGCTCAGAAGAATTGAGGAGTTAAATTTATACCTTTTTAAAAAAATGTTTATATAACGTTAGTTAAACTCTACAAGTTCTCACAGCTGTTAGACATTTTTAGAAAGCTGAACTGAAACTTTTAATTGACAACAACAGACACTTAACAGAAGTGGATTCCAAACTTCATTTAACACTAGACATGCAATGCCGACCATATTTTTTATTTTTAAAATAAATTTAGTCGATGATTTTACAAAAACTGTGAATCATGTTAGGGTCAAAATTAAAAAGACACAAACTAGCTTCCTGTTGATATTTTTCTGGTCATTCGACGAATGCGGTCGAAAGAGCCAAAGCTAGCCACAGGTTGCTAGATGAACATTATTAGTATAGCAGGCTGTTTGTGTGGCATTCTCTTCCTCCAAACTTCTTTAAACTGCCTTTGGCACCAGAAGTGACTGTGACCAAACTAACAATGATTCCTTACAGCAACGGAGCCCCCAACAATTACTCCACCTTCAGTTGAGACACCCTGACAGCAGTCTCTTCCTTGGGTTCCCTCCATGTTTATAGTTTACGTTCTTTTCCTTCCATTCAGGTGCTGAAGATAACCCCCCTTTTGGTTGTTGACAGTGTTCATGTGATTGATATAAGTCGTCCATTGATTTAGCTGGTTTTGCAATTGCCAGCTACGCTTTTTGGAGCCAGGTGTGACCATAATTTTCTTAAAAGGAATACTGATTGCATCATTTCAGTCCTAATGATTATTCATGTAGCTTAGACGTTAGTTATGTGTAACAAGTATGGAAACAAATTAACTTAGTTCTTATTTTCTAATCAGATGATCAGATTTTTTACCTGTCCAATAAACTTAAAGTTTTACTGTAGCACAACATTACTAACTGTTGAAGAGAAACTTATTAGTGAGCTTAATAGGGAAAGCTTAATGGGGACTGTTTCCTGGCAGTCAGCTTTTGAGTCAGCCTAACCCTTGGCCTGATAATGATGCAAGAGAACAAGAAGAGAGTGATCTTCAGTTTAGATAGCCAGAGGTGCCGTGATGTAACTATTAATCTAATCTAACTAATCATGAGTCCTGCTAATAGGGAGGGAGCCAGCAGTGTGATGAACTGGCTGATACCGGCTGCACAGCCAAGGTTCAGGGTTCACATTCTGAATATACACCCTGGATAAACACATCATACACACACACACACACACACACACACACACACACACACACACACACAGGTCCAGCCACGTGCAGAAAACCACACACTGATCTCTTTGATCAGCGAGCAGGAGGCTGTGTAATCAGCTTGATCAATGGCAGGGATATCAGTGCTGATTAGAGGAACACAGGCAGCCTCAGTCTCTGCTGAAGGTGACAGGCCGAGGGGATGAAGGGGAGGAGATGGAACGATAGGACGGAAGAGAAAGATGAGAACAATGAGACACAGTGAGGAGAAAGCTAGGGAAGGATTGGAAGGGAAGAGGGAATGAAACACTGGTAGAGGTCAGAAGGATGGAAGGAGCCATCAAGAAAGAAGGATAGAGACGTTGTTTCCGATGAGTCTTTGATTCACCAGAGTTGCGATGACAATCAAAGGGTTCACCTCTGCAAGGTGTTGTGTTACAAAGCTCAGGGAGTCATTTCACTGCTGCCTTTGATCTACAGACAGGAACAGCTTCTGCCCAGACACACCCGGCACATATACACACATTTGACACACACACACAGGTTTCAATCTCAGACTGTAAATTTGAGGTTTCACCTCGGCCTCACCAAATAGCTGCTGTGTTGGAGTCTGGAGTTAGCCATCATGGGCATCACCGTTCATTTTTTTTGTGTTTGTTTTTTAAGCCAAGAGTCACCATTGCCTGTTAGGTTAATAGCTCATTCCATTTTTTGTCACAGAATGAGATTCAACAGCTGAGATGTTAAACATTAACTTTAAAAAAAGTAGCAAACGAGCCATTGTGCACCCACATCAAGGGCGGGTGCACCCACGTGTTAAATAACTCCTGTCTTCACATTTTGACACCTATTTCTTAGGAGAAAATCTACCAACAATTGTGACTCCTTTGTAATCGCAGCTGGCAACACAGCGAGCAATCTTATTTGGTCAACATTTGCATGAACATTTCACAGTGCACCTTCAGCACAAACACGGCCACGATTCTCAAATTTAGTGACTTTTTTTGAGCTGAGGAAACATCTAGCAGACGGCCTACAACACCCACCTGTCAATCAAAGTGGCCTTGTTATTAATTATGCAAAGTTTTTAGCCTTAATGTATAATTCAAAACGGTAATTTATGGAAACATTTGACCATGCACAGTTGTCATTAATAGAAATATTATCTTTAAAGAGCAAACACAATGTTTGTAGTTACTACAAGGATATTTATTTTAGATGTAAAGTTGGGCACCGTAACAATGCAGGCTACAGGGATGGACTCGCTTTCAGAGCCTGCCTCAAGGGGCCACGTGAAAAACTGCAGTTCTAGAACCTCAATGTTGACTTCTTTTTTCAGCCCCAGACCTTTGCAGCTTGGTTTCAGTCAATGACATGTTTTAAAGCCGGTTCCAAAGTTTGTGATGCTTCACTGTGATGCTTCACTGTGTTCAACTTGACTATTATTATTATTTATCTAGAGCCAAGGACTCACGACTCTCGAGGAGGCCCGGATGATGAAGATGAGGACGGAGAGGAGCAAAATTCGACGCACAGTGGTGGGGAGGATGAAGAGGAAAGGGGTGAAGAAGAGGAGGTGTCACATTGGAGGGGTCCAGGTCAGTAAACTCTTGAAGAGGTCCTTCACTTGAAGCCAAACTGAAAAGGTTTGAGGTGGATACCAATACTGAGTTTTAGAGGGAACAGTGTAAAGATACTGATATAGCAGATACTGATATGTGAATATGTAATGCACTAATGTTGTGCATGAATTTAAAGTCTTCTTTAAAATTCAACCTTAAAGCTGACTCAACATAATTTGTTTTTTTGCCTCGGTCTGTTCAGCTGTGATGTTCTGCCACATGTGCTGCAGATAGTGCTAAGAGGAATAAACAATGTTATCCTAACCCACTCTTCAGGACAGAAACATGAGATGACACTACTTCTAAATGACCTCAAGCTCTGTTTTCTGCATTTTGTGTTCTGTTTTAGAAGTGCTCATATGGGAGAAACCTACCAAACTGATACCAGTATATGTGTGTGGAGGGTCTATATGGGCCTGATAACAGAAATATCTGTTGTACATCCAAGAAACACTCTGTGTCATAAAGTGTCCAGAACATACAGTTATGCTCATGGTGATATGAGCTCTTATGGCACTACTGCACTATTTTCTTGTATTTCTCAAACTTGAACACAAGGTTTAAGGTTAAGGTTTATTTTGGGCTTTTTATGCCTTTATTTAGATACGACAGTGGATAGAGTCAGAAATCATGCAGGAAAGGAGCCACAGGTTGGATTTGAACCAGGGCCGTCCGCTTGGAGGACTGTAGCCTCTCCACGTGGGGCGCTCGCATTAACCACAAGGTTACTGGCGCCCCACAATCAACCAATCATTTAACTTCAACTTTAAGCGAAGTTAAAGTCTCTTATGGTAGATATTAGATTGATTGGAAGGTAAAGCCGAGGAGGCTGCTGTGTTATTTTGACTCTAAATTATCACCTTTTTTTTTTGTGTGAACATTTTTGACTCAGTTTTGCACATTTATATTTACATATTTCAGTTGGTGAAACATGGTAAGAATATTACAAGACAAGGAGAGGTGGGTAGACTGCTTTTCAAATGAGAGCAGTCGATATATCTCTATATAAACACACGTGTTTACACACTTTTCAATTATCACATTTTTAACTTGATTAAGACAGAACATTCTGAGGGTTAGAAATAATTTAATTGTTTAAATATGACTCCTACATGGAAGTTAGACCTGCTACCCCCCAATCAGCACCACAGTCCTTAGTGTCCACCTACATAAGTAAGTCTCTGATTCTTGTTCTTGAAAGTCTATGAATAGCTGCAGAAAGGACTACAGGGGATTCAAGATTACCTGCATACTATTAGTTCAGCTCTGAATATGCTCTCGAGAGAATCTAAGCAGCTCTTAGTGTGTGCGTTGTGTGTCTTTGTGTCTTTGTGCTGGAGTTGTTCCTCTGTGTTGTCTCTTCAGGGTCCGTTGTGTTGTCCTTCTGTTTCCTCTAAACATAAGATGTGAAAGTGACAGGCCGGAGGAAAATTTATTCAAGACGTAACAAAAAACACACACACACACACACACATCCACAGCTAAGAGGAGATAACAAGTAAATCGCCATAATTTTATTATTTATTTGCTCTCTTATCGAGGTTTGTTTGGTTATTTATTTCTCTCTGTCTGTTGTCTTCAATGAGTTAAACAATGCAAGAAGATTACTGCACTATCTCACATTATTTCCTTTTCAAGCCGCACACGTTTTATGTACGTCTGTGTGTACGCTGTGTCGACTGTGTTTGTGTTTAGTGGTGTTTGCGTGTGCGTGTGTGTGTGTGCACGTGTGTTTTAATTCCTCTGGTGGGGAGAGAGGATGTGTTCATTATCGTCCTGTCCCAGCCTCGTCCCTTTAACAGTAATTGGAGCGATATTAATTGCTGCGCGGTGGCTGGTTGATGGTAGCACCATGATGCTGCACTGATAGGGCCCCTGTTTTTTTTTCTCCCTTCCTTCCTCTCCTCCTCACAAACTAACTGCTGGGTGAGCGAGGCAGAAGGATGGAGGAGGAGGAGGAGGAGGCGGTGGGGGGAGAGAGTAAGGGAGGGAGATAGCCCCTCTATCAGCTCCGGAGCAGGCGCTGTCTTTATCAGGAGCACGATTGGCAAAAAGGAAACTTTGACCGGTCTGAATTTTTCTCTTATCGTCAAGCCCCCCCTCCACCACCTCCTCCACCTCCCCTCTCTCCCTCCATCCATCCACCTTCTCCTTTTCTGGTCTCTCCATCACCACTAACAACCCAACTAACAGCCCCCTCCTCTCCATCCATCGTTCGCCCCCTAAAGGCGTTCGTCTCTTCCTCTTTTTCTTCCTCCTTCTGTTGTTTCTTCTTCCTCATGTTCTTCTTCTTGCTAATGTTCACATCAAATATTCATCATATATCAGACGCATTTTTCCCATAAACAGATGAGGGGAAAAGTGTGTATTAGCTGTGATAGAGGTAAACAGGCGTTATCTCCTCTGGGAGTGTTGGCATTCCACACGTTTCTCACTGTTGTTGCCTTTTAGACACTTCTGCTCCTCCATGGGACCACAAGTTTCTCGCCTTTTAATCCCATGTACTTCGGCTGCTTTAATACCAGTCGTGCCAACAGTAGCGGTCACGTCAAGCACCTTTGATACAACAGGCGAAGACTTGAAAATAAAAGAAAGGTAAAAAAAATACAAATAAGCAAAGCATCATAACACTTGTATTTTAAATACAAAAACAAAATACATTAAAAATAATTGCAATATTTTAAAAATTCTAAATGTCATTACAGCTGGAATTACATGCGATCTGTTAAGATTTAGATTTTTTTTTAAAAGAAGAAAAATTCAAACTCAACATGTTTAAAAGAAGTGTACTGTAGTAGTGGAACTACAACTTCTCTTCCTAACAACTAGTTTAGTTTGAGCACATGCTGTTTATATGTGTTTTTTGTTATTTTACACTCAGCATTTCCAGTGTTTTCCTATTTTTTTATTTGACTTTTGCAAAGAGGGTAAAAAATAGCTCACACTCAGCGCATCTGTCCTTCTCATTTTGAAAGATCAGTCATCATTTTTACTCTAACCACTGGTGTTGAAACAACTACTTGCTTAAGCTTTCAGTTGATTAGCAGAAAATAATGTTTAAAGCAATTTAGATGATGAAATTATAGTAAAACATGAACCGGCTCTGAATGTGACAATGTGCTGCTCTCATTCGAACATAATTGGATCAATGAAATGATTGAAGCTAATCTAATGGGGTACCATCAGACCTTGGAGGTTACCTTTTTGTCACAGGTGCTCCTTTATTCCATCATTTCATTTCATTACATTTTGTCATCTTGTTTTCGAGTGACTTTATATCATATAGTCTTTTTTCATTTTCCCACTATTTAGCAATATTCATTTGTCCTAATGTTTGTATTTCAGCCTTTATCTACACCTTGTTTACAGCTATAATGTTGCTCTATCCCCGCCATACCTCCTCACAGGGCGGCTGTGGCTCAGTTGTTAGACTCGGTTGTCTCTCAACCAGAAGGTCGAGGGTTCAATCCCAACTCCTGCAGCCACATGTCCGATGTGTTCATGTGGGCAAGACACTTTGACACCCAAATTGATCCCGCTGCTTGGTGGCGTATGCATCTGTGTGAATGGGATTAGTTACTTCTGATGGTCACTTTACACAGCAGTCTCTACCATCAGTGTGTGAACGGGTAGGTTTGACCTGTGGTGTTAAAGCACTTTGAGTAGTCAGAAGACTAGAAAAGCACTTTACAAGCTCAAGTCTATTCAAGATTACAGCAATGAACGTCTCAAATCCTTATTTATTGGCTTCAGTGGGAAAAGAAACAGTTTGAAGTCCCAAACTAAATATTCCAGATTATATTTTATTGTAAATGAAAGTCAAAATTTCAAAAAATAAATCTTCTTTGGATTGTATTAATATTGAACGAATCTGATATACTAGTTTAAAAGACATTCATTCCTAGATACAAAAATGTTCATTTCTCTTTTCTGCAGAGTTTGTTTCCCAACCTTGTGATGATAATCTTCACATATATGCAAATAAGAAGTTGCTCAAGTCAGTCCAGAAGGACTGATATAAACATAAAATAGAGAAAACAACAACAGAACATTTTTATTTTATCCTCTCTGCTTCAAGATAATACAGTTCATTACCAGACACGGCATTTTTCAATCCACTTATTTGACACTGTCTCCTCACTGTGTAATGACTTGTTTATGTGTTAATCTGAGAACATTCCTGAGTCGCAGATGAAAGTAAAGACACATTTTTCGTGGTTTTTTTTTTCTCAATTTTTTACCGACAGCAGCTATCAAACATCGTCTTTGTTGCTTCTATTGATACAAAAAAATAAATCAGCATTAAAGGAGTGATAAACTTAGAATGGATTAGAGGCTTCAGCAATTTTCACTTTTTCTCCAGTTTGTAGATTGTCTAAAAACAATCAAAGCGTGTGTGTATATGTGTATGTGGGTGTGTGCGCTCTTGTGTGTGTGTGCGTATGTGCGTGCTTGTGTGTGAGATGGTTGGTGGCATGGTGTCTAGGAGAAGTCTAGGTGCTTCCTATCAGGGATGGCATGATATGCTAAAGCCGCCTTTTTAATCTACAGTGTGTCCGTACTGCATGATATGCAAAATAAATTATGAAGAGAAGAAAAAAAAAAAGAGGAACTATCTTTTGAATGACCTTGCAGGCTGGAGGGTTCGATATTTTCTCCCTCGCTGCTTAAAATTCTTGATATGCAAATGAGTGTCACAGTAATCCCCTGTCATTCGCTGGCTGCTGGTCCCCCACACATTCCCTGCTTCCTGTATGAATGTGAAGAAATCCATTGTCATTAAATGGTCAAAGTGTTACATATCCAGGACAAAGTAAATGAAACATCCACATATTTCTTCCTTTGTATTGTTATTATTTCTTTTAAAGAAGAAGAATCACCTTCAGACGTACTGGACTAGTGGACTTCCAAAGAAAGGTTCAGTTTGTTTAGATTTGAAGACTGGGGAAATAGAGTGTGTGACAGTTTTCTCATTT